CAAATCTGTTTTAAGGAGAGTGTGATTCATGTATCTCTACATCATCCTTGCCAATTCGGTTTTCCATGTTTGGTAGAAGGTTGAATTTGTGTTGTAACAATTTTAATATATTGTTCTTGCAATAAGTTGATATATATTGTTATTCTTTGTATTATCCATATTATTACCTAACATAAATTATCTCTCCCGAGTGCCTAACTCATATATCAAATCATCTAATTTATTGTCAAATAAACTAGAAGCATTAAAAATAGGACAACATAAATAAACTATGAAAAATCTCTTAAAATAAATCAACCTTTCATAATTAGGTAAAATCAAAGCTCTAGTGAAACAACTACTACATATCTAATATTAAACACGCAAAAATCATGGGTTTCACAATTTACAAATCATAAAAATAAAAAGATGAGAATAAGAATGAAAACTCACTTTAAAGTTATCACATGCTCTAAATTCTTCTTTCTTCTTCTCCTCTTCTTTTTCTTGATCTTCAAATGCTTTCTCCCTTGATGATTTATTGAAAGTAAAACTTAAATAATAAAATCCTAAATCAAAAGAAATAAAAGCATAATTTTTTATTTTTTATTTTTTGTATTTTTTCTCACTCCCAAATATGGCATTAAAGCCTTACTTATTTGCTCTCAAAATGCTTCCTTTTTTTGGTTTCAGTGCAGGGAGCTAATGGAAATGGGGAGTCTGGTTCGCGGAGCTCAAGGAATGAGCTGATGAAGAATGGGCACAAAAAGCCCAAAAAATCACCCTTTAATTCACGCCAATTGGGAGAAAGAAAAAAGGAAAAGCAGGCTCTGAGTGAGTGCACCACTTGGCGAATTGCAGTTGGGGATGGGAGAGACTTGGAGACGTGGCAGCGTGCAATAGGTGGAGAGAAAGGGTGCACGAAAATCTCAATGAGCGCACACGAGCAGAGAGAGCTAGAGATAGTAGGGAAGAGCCACGCGACGTGGCGCGCTCTAATTGGATGTTCCCTGCTCCTTTGTCTGCTTGAACGCATGGAGAGGGAGAGTGACGTACAAGCGCACATCCTGGTCCTCCGTTCGATAATCTTACGGCTTAGGTGGAGAATTGCGTGATTATTTCACTCGCGCATTTGGTGGTCCTTTTTATCCGGATCTAATCTTGAACTTTTTGGTCTGTTCGCTTTATGAATTCGAGTTTTTAATTCAAATTGAGATGTAATATTTTCTTAAAGTTTTTAACTGTAGCAGAAAAAGTTAGATTTGATATTTTTTAAGAACTTTTAACTGTATAAACATAAAATTAAAAACTCAAATAAGTGAAATAAACGAGACATTTATTGATAAATTTGACCCAATTTAAACTTCAACTTTTTATTTTGGCTCCTTTTTCTTTGTACTTTTGACCCATTTCATTTCAAACTTTTCACTTGTCACAAAGTTAAATACAAATGAGAACATTAATTATTTTAGAAGGAAAACTAAAATAGAAAGAGAGATTCTTTAGTACGCCTAACTGTGTCAGTAGGTTTGGTTTTTTTATCCATTGAATTTGCTTACTTTTTGACTTTTACGTAATTTTATGCAGATCTAACTGGTAAAAAATTAACCTATCGATATGTTAGCGTACCAGAAAACGTCCTAGAAATTACTAAAACTAATCTAAATAAGCTAAAATAAATTCAATAAAAATCTAAAGTAAAATAAAACTAAATGAAATAAAAACAAATAAAATTAAATGAAATTAAATAAAACTAAAATGAAAAGTAAATTAACTAAAATAAAAATAAATAAAATAAAAATCTCAAAAATTAGTTAATTTAATTAAATGCATAAAAATAGTGAAAATAACTCTATTTCATAGAGTTATCATAAATTTATATTGCTAATCCTACACCTAAAAGTTGCTTTGCGGCTGTGATTCCCGAAAACATAAATTGCTCGTTTATCTGAAGATCAGGAGTACAATTCAGCATATTTTGAAGTAGCATCCTGACACTAAAAGTCTCGAAATAAAAATATTGGGAAGCTTTGTGAGGACCAAGTCTGATCCTAATGACTATCATCAGAAACACTCTCACAGCCTCCTCCAAGTTACAAGTAATAATCTATTGCCCGATAGATGTTTTTGTGTATTTAACACTGTTGTGGATTGAATATAACCGCAAGTTGTATTGTTGATATTGTGCATTCTCAAGGTCTGAAGGTTTCCTCTACGATTGATAGTACGAACTCGTTTAGTTCTCTGATTTAAATTTTTAATTTGAGTTGAGATTTGATTTTAAGTGAGAGTTTTTTACTGTAGTAGAAAATTAAATGTGACTGTTTCTGAGAGCTTTTTACTACAGTAGAACTAAAATTTTAAACTCGAATCGGTGAAATTAACGGAACAGTAACAATACTGGGATTCTACTATTCAAGTTTCTGGTGTGATAAAAGGACATCCCTAATTGCATGCTTTCTGATGAAGATTTCTGTAAGGTAATCGAGACATGAGAAAGCTTTGTAAATCTATTGAATCCCAATTTTTTGGTTTTCTTAAAAGGCCTTTAATACCGAGTAATGGGGTCAAATTAAATTTTGGCTGATCAATCTGACCAATTAATATATTTGACTGAGTCAAAAGGCACAAGAGGATAAAAACTCCCACTTATTTAATGAGTCGAGACAGAAAAAGACTTTTCTTAAAAGAAAGAGAAAAAAAAACATAATCACAACATTAAAGTCGATATAAATGACTAATTATAATATGGCCAACGTAGAAGGGATAGAAATAGTTCTATCCAAGTGATCAGTATTGAGGTAGCAAATTTTTTACTTCTAGCCACGTGTTTTTTTTTTTTTTTTTTTTTTTAAAAAGAATCACAACTCAAATTTTTTACTATAGTAGTGTTTTTCAAACATCAATTTAAATTCAACTTTTTTATTACAATATTTTCTTTCTTATAAATTCACTTTTCAATTTAAATTCTTGAAGAAAAAAAAGCGCGCTCTAACCTAATGGCATATTCATTTCATTCACACCCCTAGCTAAAGAAGGAAGAAGGACTTCAATAATGGCCGTTTCAGTGGCATTTCTCATGCATGCCTCTTCATTTTCAGCGCTTGACCCAAAAATTGGTCCACTAGTTAATCTACCTAGTGTGAACATAAACCTTCGGAAGGATATACCTTTTCTGATCAACAAGGGCACACGTACGTCGTGTGGAAAGAATATAAAAGTCCATATGCTTCTACATTATTCCCTACAATTTGTTTTTTTTAATCTAAAGCACAAAATAAGATTAAAAAAAAGGTCCCTTACACACGACTTAGAAAACTAACGATGAATTTGATGCGACAGAATCCAATATAGAATGTGGTGGCCTGTGGCTTAAGCTAAACAAAATTTGAATTAGCCCCAGGTATAATTAAAAACATATAGTTGTCCTTATTCTATGTATTATTTCTGTTTCATATAAAATTACTCGCCCTTGTATATTAATTAGATATTAATTGTATAAACACGAATATAGAATGTGGATTGTGTGACTCAAGCTAACAAAATTGAAAGAGTCATTACAACCATTTGTTTAATTGGCCCGGTACAACTAGAAGCATATATATATTTGGCCTCAAATTTATGTTATTTGTTATTTGTTTTATATTATAAAACTGACACTCGCCTGTACGTGTGTAATGGGACATGGACAATTACATGGGTAAATATTAATTAAAATATTCAATATATAAATATTGAACCACACGAAACATATTAATTAATACCCCAACAATTTCTTTGATACGATTTTAATTTACCAATTTTCTCCAAAACTTAAGTTGTTTGAAGCAAAATAGTTTTATATTCTCACATTAATTGAAAAAAGAAAAAGAAAATTATGTTTACTTGATAAGGAATTAGTGACACATTTAAAATTTAACATCTAACTCATGTGATTGTTAAGGCGCCGTTTGTTTCGCTTGTTCGAATTGAGAATTTGAATTGAAAAGTGAATTTATATAAAAGAAAACAATGTAGCAAAAAATTTGAGTTTAAATTTTTATGAGATTGAAAATAATGTCGCAGAAAAATTGTGTTGTAATTCAAATGGTGAAACAAACGAAGCATAAATGTGTAGGAATAACGACGATTTAAATATGGGCAATATTCTTGGGGCAATTGATGTGTATAGAGATATATAGATCATAATATCAATCATTCAATAATTCAACTTTTAGACCGCATAATGCCTTAACGAGCGACAATTGTACAATTAATAATCCTCTCTATCAAAATTCAGTTAAAAGAGACACAAAAGGAGGGGGTTATTTAGTAGTAATTTTGAAGTGTGGTGACATGATATTTTCATTTTATTTTAACAGAAATTCAGGAAAACCGCGTAACAATACTTAATTCGCTAGGGGAGCAAATTATGAGAACTAGATACTTTATTGGAGATTAACCTAACAACACTGACGGAAATTCTAACAATACTGACGGAAATTCTAACAATATGTCTCATAATTTGGGGGAGAAAAGTAGAAGTTTTTAAATTTCATATTTGGGGGAGAAAAGTAGAAGTTCTTAAATTTCACGGGCAAAGTAGAAATGACTAATATTTGAAGGGCAGATGTGGAAATAATCCTTTATCGCTTTGTGCTCAATTCTATATAGTCTTAAAATTATTTATATATATGTATATGTATAAATATACATATATATGCGTATAGAGGAATAAGCATAGGTTTCGACGATGTGTAACTCCATGACGCAATGTTTTAAACTTATATGGCAGCATGAAGCAGCACGCTAAGCTGACCAAGAATATTTATTAGGATCGCATCAACATCATGTAGTAATATTATTACGTACCAAGTAATCTCTAGAGTACTAAAATCCAATATCTTAAATCTATAAATAGGCAGAAAAGAAACTAAACATTTCGACCACAGCGAAGACAAGCACAAAAACCAACTAGCTATATATTCATTTCTCATCCACACAACACACATTCTCACAAACCTTCGACAAACTTTTCACCAATGGCTTCCCTCCAAATCTCCGACCTCGAAACCGAAATTCCCTCCGACCTTCTCGTATCTCGCGTCATGCAACTCCATGCAAGCATCTCGAAACTCGAGTCGCTTCGACCTTCGAAGCAAGTCAACACCCTCTTCACCCAGCTCGTCAACTTGTGCACTCTTCCTTGTTCAATAGACGTCAAGGACTTGCCCCAAGAGCTCCAAGCCAAGCGTGAGAGTCTCATTATTCTATGCGGCCAAGCCGAGGGGCTTTTGGAGCTTGAATTCTCTTCATTCATAGCCAAAACTCCGAAAGCTATCAACGATCTCAACCTCTTTCCTTACTATGACAACTACGTCAAGCTAGCAAATTTGGAGCACAAAATTTTGGTCAAGAACGGAGTGTTGAAGCCCAAGAATGTGGCCTTTGTGGGCTCAGGCCCAATGCCACTAACTTCCCTTGTCTTGGCCATGAACCACATGAAATTCACTCACTTTGACAACTATGACTTTGACGAGAAGGCCAACTCTTTGGCTAGGAAGATTGTTGCCTCGGATGTTGAGCTAGAGAAGAGGATGAAATTTGTTACTAAAGATGTTATGGAAGTGAAAGAGAAGCTTGGGGAATATGATTGCATATTTTTGGCTGCTCTTGTGGGGATGAACAAGGAAAAGAAAGTGAAGGTTCTTGGGAATGTGAGGAAGTACATGAAGGAAGGAGGGATTTTGCTTGTTAGGAGTGTTAAAGGGCCTAGGGCTTTTCTGTACCCAGTCGTTGAAGAGCGTGAGTTGGTCGGGTTTGAGGTTCTTGACATCTTCCATCCCACGGATGAAGTGGTCAACTCCATTATTTTGGTGCGAAAGCCTATCTTTTAAGTATTTTTTCAAGTACCGGTCTAGTTGGCATTCGAATTTCAACCTCGATGCTATTGTCCTTGCTCACCACTTGTATCACTTATTAATTAGCTTCATCCCACTGCATAAGTGGGATTAATGTGAGCCTACGAGGGTTTTATATTTGTGCCAGGAACTTGGTAAAACTTACTCTAGTTGTGTCTGTCATGACTGAGAAATTTATCGAAGAAATTATTGTATAAGATAAAATTTTTTAGAATTCTCTGTATTATAAATATGAATACTTTTATGATAAGTATTTGCTGATATTGATATTGAATAGCAAAGTATAAGTTAAAAGTCAGAAATTTCTTAACTATAATACAGTTACCGAATTTCAGACTGTAATCAAGAAAGAGACAGCGAATGTTGTGTTATTCTCACAAGGGGACAAACACATGAATATTAAGTTTAAGAAATAAAAAGGAATTGAAAAACATTAATTCTAGGGTTTTGAAAACAATCAAAACGAAGAACGGGCGAAAAAAGGGTGTGGAAGGCCGAACCGAGAAAATTAGAATTTTCGACCGATTAGGGTTGACCAAGTTGAAATTTGTTGGCGAAGAGTCGACCAATAGGTCACTCTTGAAAATTTAGTCAAGGTTGAGTAAATTTGACGAAGTTGGCCAACCGTCCGAAAAACGCGGGTAAAACGCGCACCTAATAGGAATTAAACTAAACCGAAATAAAATAGTTATTAAAAATGAATGGTTGAGATTTAAGGTGATCAAATGAATGGAGGGCTAAGATTAGGACACCTAGAAAGAGAGGATATGGCCAGCCAAGACTTAGGAGAGAAGGAAAAATTTTTTTTTTTTTTTTTTTTTTTTTTTTTTTTTTTTTTTGGTAAAAGAGACCTTAGAAAGTGTCAAAATTTCACCTAGGTCCCTCCTCTCTTTTTGTGAACGGTTTTAGAAGGGAAAAAAATACAAGAAAAATGTCTATTTTCATGCAAGAAAACAGAGAGAACTCAGCTAAAGAAAGAGAGGAAAAAAAATTCCGTAAAGTGAGAAAATCGAGTTCAAATCGAAATCAGCGGAAAACTACCGTTGATTAGCGTCACCGGAACTTGTTCTTCATTCTTCTAAGGTAAAATTTCAATTTTTCTCCTGATTTTTCACCATGGCTGCATGTCTATGAACTGTAAAAACTATGGAAAATTTTTTGCTAAGGATCATGATTGCTTATGGTACCGAAGACCTAATGTTTAGAGGATAAATTTTCAGTTATTGGGTTATGCTTTTAGCATTTTTGTTTAGGGAGAAATCTTGTGATGATAGTGAAGAAATCCTAGAGATTTTGATGTTTATGATGATAAAAAGGAATGAGAATGATTGTGGTATGTGGTTTAGAGGTTGAAACAACGGATAAAATGAGCTATGGTTAGCTTTGGAAACACGAAAATTAGGAGAAACTCTGTCAAAATTTTAGTCTCAAAATTGAACCAAATCCGGTTGTAATGAGGAATATGAGGAATATGATGTGTTAAATAATTTAATTAGGTGATCGAAGATGTGTAGGAACCTAAAATGATGAAAATTCTCAGTTTCAGACTAAAATCGAAAACTTGGATAATGAACCGAAACTTGTACCCGAATTTGCTTAAGCTAGAGGACAAAGATAGAAGCTTAATTTCAAAAAGTGACCAACATCAACTTGAAAGAAATTTCATTTCGAACAACTTTTGTGATATTACTATTTGCTCAAAAATGACCCTAGATGTCAGTTTCGAGCTGATTTCTAAAACATGTCAAAAATGGTGATTTTAGGCCAAATATGCACGGGTTTGGTGCACATTGGTAATATAGGAGATGTTTTGGTCCGAATACTGAATGTGAAAATCGTAGATCTTTTTAAGAGTTTTAGACATGACATGCGTACTCTGTGAAAATGACATTTACGGAACCACGAACTCGAGTCAAATTGTATTGTAATTTCTGATCTTAGATTGTGAATCTAACAATCGAGAATTTATATGATAGGATCAGTAGCCGATCAAGGAAATAAGTTTCTGGAGACTCAAAAGTCGTGACTTTAGCGGAACTTCTATAAGTACAGTAGTTTTCCTTTATCTATATCACGAACAAGCCTATTTCTCTGTGTTGCATAAAATTGTGCATATTGTAAATTCAATGTATGTTATTATGTGAAAGATGTTTCCTGAATCTTATTTGTGGCATTGAATGCGCTTATGGACTTAGAGTAGTAGTAGAATTTTAATCTGTGAAAAAGCCAAAGTCAAAGTCAACAAAAGTCAAACATTTGAATAAAGCCCAATTTCATAAGAAATTGGTAGAAATGCTTAAAGATGCAAAAATATGACTAAAATTACTGTCATAATAAGAAAGAAAATGACAGTAAGATGATAATATTAAAATTATTGTCATGATAAGAAATGATGACAGTAAGACGATGTATAAAGTAAAGATGACAAATGATGAAAGTTAATAAAATTGTTTGTACCAGCCTTCGCAAGGGAGGTTATTATGAATAAAACCATGGGTGAGTTGGTTTTGGGTAGCTCCCCCACTCCTCATTGGGTATGTGTGCAACGACACAACAGGTATGGGGCCCATAAGAAGTAAAAGTTAAAAATTAAGATTAAAATTATTGTCGTGATAAAAAAGATGACAGTAAGATGATGTATGCAATAAAGATGATGAATGACAAAAAGTTAATAAAACTGTTTGTACCGGCTTTTGCAAGGGAGGTTATTATGAATAAAACCATAGGTGAGTTAGTTTTGGGTAGCTTTCCCACTCCTCATTGGATATGTGCGCAATAATACAACAGGTACGAGGCCCATAAGAAGTAAAAATTTTGAGACACGAATGACACAAAAACAAAAGTTGTAAAGAACTATGGAATGAAAGAAAAGAAAGCATAACATGATAAAATGAAAGAAAAGAAAGCATGACACGATGAATGAAAGAAAAGAAAGCATAACACGATGAAATGAAAGAAAAGAAAGTAAAACACAATAAATGAAAATAAAGAAAGCATAAAACGATAAATGCTTTAAATGTTTAGAAAATGTTCTAGGGTGTATTACATGAATGCATATATGGGTATGCATTATTGATTGCACTTGGTGTGGTCTGTTGTTACTTGTTGTGCGAAAGCTCATCCCGTTTATTCGTGTTGTAGGAAGCTCGGGTAAGGCACCGGCTCCCTGAAACCTGTTTATTGGGCGCGCAGAAAAGGATGAATCAATGAGATGTGGGCACGTGGGTAATGGATGCACCACGTGTTTTGAAAACGCTGCAATGTGTATAAAGTAAGTAGTATTTATGGATGTAAGAGAATAAATTATGTAATGAAAGTAAAGTATATGAGACACCGAGGCTATGCTTAGCAACCTCAAGTCATAAAGTATGTTGATGCACCTAAAATATTATTATGTTAATGGCATGTGGAATAGTGTGAGGGCATATAAAGAAATATATTTATCTCAGTGGAAGTTTAAGTGTAAAATCACAAAATTTTAAGAGGTAATATTTTTTTCAAACAACCCCCACTGAGCTGTATGCATATCTGCCACTGCTTGTAACCATGATCTAATTAAGGGCGGTGGCCCCCATTGACCTTTAATTTTAAATCTCATGATCTAAGGGCGAAATGAAAACGTAGAGGAGTATCTTGTAGCAGGAGATTCGATGGACGTGCAAGTAAGCCAACGAAACCAGAATGGCGATGTTGAGGTCGACAAACATAGTATCCATAAGAGAGGTACTCGCATGTTTTAGTACTTAGTAGAGTTACTCTTGTAGTTTGTCACTGTCGCTTAAGTGAGTGTAACACTTGAGTTTGACGATCTCGTTGCATGTTTTTCCTTACTCTTTTTTTTTAACTTGTATTGAGTTCGTTCTCGTTAATCCTTTGGTTTTGCTTTTTGTACAACTGGAATAAATGTGAACAGGTAGCCATGGAACCCAAAAATTCGTTTGAAAGTTGAAAATGAAGTGGAAGACGATTTTGAGGAAGTAGAAGAAGGGAATGATGAAGATGAATGGGATGATGAGCTCCACATCAATCCCAATGATGAAGATGAAGGGGATGATGAGCTCGACATCGATCCCATACGAGCAATAATTTTGTAGATACTTCTCTCAAATTTTGTAGTTTTTTTACGCCCTCTTACCTATGAGTTTTCATAATGTCAACGCTAAAAGACAATTTTTTTACTTTTAGCAATAAATTTTTTTTATTTTTTTATTTTTTTTTACTTTTAATGACAACTAATTTTTAGCAACATTAAGATTTTTAGCAACAACAAATGCCATCGTTAAAGACGAGTTTTCTTATAGTGATTTTTTTTTCTCTCTTTTCTTTTAGTGTTATGTTGTGTTGAAGTGTGTTGGTTCTTAAACCTAACTGAAAAGAACAAGCATGTGCGTGTCTAAATAAAAAATGCTATTAAATAAGGGAGAAAGATGAAAATAGATCAAGACTTGAGATGAATTAAAATTAATAGGCCAATATTTTACATAAGTTAATAAATAGGTTAAATTACTGTTTTCGTCCATAACTTGTCTGTTATAAACCATAACTTGACAAGTTATTTTCCATAAATCTCAATTTTTGTTCATAACTTGTCTGACTATGAACCATAACTTGATAAGTTTGTCCATAACTTATCTGGTTATAAACCATAACTTAACAAGTTATGGACTATTAATTTTTATAACTAATAATTATCTTATATACTTTCTTAAGCTTTTCATAGTGACATTTTTTACTATTTTCGTTAAATATGAACACGTCTAATTTTTTAGTAGGCCCCTTTGAAGATTTTGCTTTAAGGCCCGAAATTACTTGACCCAGCCGTTTTTTCTCTTAATTAATCGGCATGTACAGGCTTCTTCCCCACTCTCCTTCACATGCTTCTCTAAAGCGCACCGTTTTCCGACCGCGACACCGCAAATGCGCGCGTGTCTTGGTCTAGCTCCTGACACTGTGAAAGGAATATTGAATTTGAAGAT